CCGGCGTTCCCTCACTCAAATCCCATGGTTCAGGGATATGCCTGAGCGCAAAGGCCATTTTTTCAGGCCAGTTCGGGTCCTCTCTGGCAATTTGATCTGCCATTCCAGGACCATACCACCTCTGGATTCTCACCAATCTCGCGGTGGTTAGCTTTTCACCAAATCTTTCGGCGGCCATTTGCCAGCCTTCATCCAACTCGTCCACAAGATCACTGTGGAACTTAGTCCACATAGCACGGCATGGTGGCTGCCGGCTGTATGGAGTACCAGGGTCCGGAATAAATTCCAGCACCCTGGCGCTCTCTCCCGGTCCCCACTCCGGTAATGCGGGTCTCCGGGGGCTCCACTCACAACCTTTCGGCCTTTCCGGACTAGGTCCACATACAGCACGAGCGCTTTCTGTGAGCGACTCGTCGCTACTTTGCTCTGGCTCACTAGGTGTCCTTATGTGCACCTGTGATCTGACCCGCGGCTCCTGGGTCCTGACCTTTCGGCCTTCGATCTCATCCACTTGCCCAACGGGCTTGACCTTCTGGCCTTTATGCGAGTCTGTCCGAACTTTTGGCACCGTCTCACCTGGCGACGGGCTCTTCCGCTTTGGCCGCTGTTTGCCGACCATCTTCCAGTCGCCCTCTGCTTCTGGAATCATCAGCATTTGCAGCTCAGATGGACCAGTGCCCCTTTCGGGTTGTCTCGCCTGTTTAGCGAACTTCTCTTCCACCTCGCGCGCCCGCAGCTGCTGCTTCAGCAGGCGATCGTTCAACTGGGCGACATGTTGTTCAGCGGAGGTCTTGGCCTCCTCGGCTTGGCGGCTCTGTTTTTTCGCCTTCCTCATCGCCACCTCGTTCCTTCGGGCTTCTTTTTGAGCCGCCGCCGCTGCAATTCCAAGGAGGCGATCTTCTCGGCGGTCTCTTCATCCCGCTTCTCTCTCGCCTGCTTGGCCGCAGCGGCCGCCATTTGCTCCAAGAGCTCCATGATACCAGGCGCCTTCAGTAGGGCCGCCACCGTGCCTGGCTCTGGCGACTCTTCTTCTGGGGCTTCCTCTCCTGGAGCTTCCTCCGCCTCGGCCATCGGCTGGTCGCTACCTTCCGGCTCAGCTCGACCTGACGATGGGCTGGCAATGTCCTTCCGGACTTCTTTTTGTTCCTACCCATTCCGGGTTGTAACGTCCTCACTGGCCGAACTGGTCGGCGTCCCCTTCCGGGGTGTATCTTCCTCGCCCGAAGATTCGGGCGTGCCCTTCCGGGCTTCTGGATCCATCTCCTCAGCCTCCATGGAGGAGGCCGGGGAAGGGGCCCGGTGCTTTTGGCTTGCTCGCCCGCCCAGACGAAAGCGTAGCAGCCACCCCTAGGTGGCTCCGAAACCAATGATACGTAAAGTGTCTGGGTGTGGGGTTCCTGCCTTCTTTGAGCCGCGGACCCACCTCGCCGGGCACCTAGGTCCTTACGGGGACCTAGGCGGGACCACCCCTCCTACTCCCGTATCCTAATACCTAGAATGGTTACCATGGGTTGAGGATAGTTATCTTGGGCAGGGCGTCCCCCACACCAAGGGCCATTAGTAGGGCGTCCCCCACATCAGGCCGGTGCGCGTAACAGGTAATGGAGATATAGTTACTTGAAAATACAATACTTATGGTACCACTCCACGGCCATATTAGGGGACAAGATTTAATCGATACAATGATGTTGTCCTCATTGTCACATGACATGGGGCATGCCAAAAGGGTGGCCATAAGCTCGATTGTTCGCAACTCTTGCCGACCACTGGCCTCCATGTGGTTGCACCTGTAGGTTGCATCGGTATCGCACACCTATTGTGTGCACTGACACTTCACGCCTGGCCAATCCACTGGCCTAAGCCCACATTGCGCATCCGAAGTAATGAATGCCCCAGATGGCCCACCAACTATCCAATGAAGGAAGCACCAACGGGTCTCATTGGGTGCCATAGCAAGTATATTGCTAGTGCATCAAGCCAAACCCCATGGCCTTGGTTTGGAGCTGGCGGATACAGAAGGCGGAAGCACGCCATGCGGCGCAAAAGAGCCAAGGGACCCGGCCCGAACGCAGGAAGACCCCTCATTTACAAAAGATCCAAGACATACAAATGGGCCAAGTGCACACCTCGTAGCACTACTTGAATTGGTAGGGGAATCCGAACTAGACTGAGCACTTGGCCCTACAGAGGGGGGTGCAATCTGCCGCTTCTCGAACTTAGCCCGATAGCAAGGGGCGGGGGGGAAGAGGGGGGGGAAGAGGGGGAAGAGGGGGGCGGTGGATCCCGGCCGAAAGCTAAACAACAAAGTAACATTTTACCGCAATTCTTGCGCTGATCATACAAAGGGATGCATACTTCACTTATTTAACGGCACCCGATCCGCTGGTGGGGAGATGCTGTAAAATCCATGTGTGTTAATGTTTTCATAAGTGGGAGTCAAAGTGAAGCTGCATAAAGTGATTATGGTATCTCAGGTGAAAGTAGACTCTGTTTGGAGTCCATAGGTTTTTGAACCACCCTCATTGGCTTAGCGGTTGAGGAGATATGGTTAGTTGAATATCTAGTACTTTAGGGCCCTCTCCTGGACCGTATTGGGGGATGAGATACTATCGCTGGACATGATACGATACAGTGCGCTGCATTGTCACGTGACACGCGCTGGTGGCCGCCCCAAAAGGGTGACCACCAGACGCAGTACTGTAACCGTGTTTCCCCTGTCTCGTGCCTCCCAGCGGCTGCACCCGCGAGCCGCACGGCGCCGCGCACCCACTGCGCGCACAGCCGCCCCGCGCCCGGCCATCCCTGCGGCCTAGGCCCACGCTGCGTACCCGAAGACACAAGCGCCCCGGAAAGCCCGCCGGCAATCCAGCGGAGGAGGCCCCGCGGCCTCATTGGGCGCCTCGGCGGGCGCCATCGCCCGCATCGAACCGAAAACCACGCCAGGAGATTGTTCCGTGGATCCACATGAAGAGTTGGGCCAACTCTTGCCAACTCCTGCCAGGCAATGGGGAATGCAAGCTGGCAGGTGCCAAAACCGTGGAGGGTTATAGTGAGCGCAGTGAATAAGTGGCAGGGGTCCCTAGGCCACAGGGGTTGATGCAAGCATAATTGGGCCACCCCGAGTAACAGGACAGTAGGAAGCAACGGGAAGCAACCCACGCTATATACTATTGGTGGGGGGGTGCTAAATAGCAACTTCTGTAGGACGGTGGCACTAATCAGTGACCCCTCCATGACCTGTGTGTTATGACTTTAGGACTCAAGGTCATTTACTTCTAATTAAAGTCACATCATGTTGTTGTTGGGAAGATACTTTAGGGGATTCTTTTGGGATTATTTAGGTTCTCCTGTATTTGGTTACTTTAGTAGTTTTGGGCCTACCATTCAATGGTTGAATGTTACGCTAACTTGAACAATCTTTTAGACATCTATTTGTATCAGTTGTGCCGTTGTCTTGTTGTCCTATATGTAATCTATTTCTGTCAGAACCCCGCGGGAACCATGCATGGGAACCAGCAAAATCAGTTGGAATTGCATAGAAGTTAGTGCAAGCATTTGAGAATAACCGACTTATAGCAATTGTGCAACGTATTCAATCTTATATCCGGAAAAAACGTAAACACTAAATGTGTGTGTTTTGCGTTTTGTGCTTATGCTAGAACATGTTCCAGTGGGCGCAAAGCGCAACCCCCTATGAGGAAGGATGCTCAACAACCTATAATGGGAAGATCACAACACTATCCCTTGATGTGTTGTGCAGTGGGCGCATCCCAATTGGGGTGTTTGTTCCATCATTTCCGTGGGCAGTATGTGGTGGAGGCCGAGGAGCCCAAGACCGATGGTCTTATGGCAACTACAGGGGCCGTGGGAGCGGAAGAGGTTGTGGGGGATGTGGATGGGGTAGAGGTGCAGGTTGATCCTATATTTCTACAATTTCTGTTGTGATGAATTACCAAGCCAATTGGCCACTTTCCGGCGCAAAAGCCGAAGGAAAGTTTAATGAGGGTATTGTAGACAAGAACATTGTCCGCAGAAACCACTCTTTCTCTTCAACATGTGATCACCTCCGAGTGACTGAAGCTGGTCATGTTCACAAACACTGCCCGAACAATAAACGGAAAAATGCAATGCAGACTTGAATAGCCCCGCAGGCTTCCACAACCATCTAGGTTTGAATAGTCACTTAATTAATTGCTTTTGTACATATAGTACACACAGGTCTAGGGTGGGGGACGCTCTACCTAGGACCTATTGTTAGAAATGGTGTAGGAGACGGCTTACCAACCTCTTTCATGATAACTCCCCTAACCTGGATATATTGTATAGGTGGTAGTTTGGGGTGGAGCGACCTGGTGGCCCGTATGCCACCAGGTTCCCGGCGAGGCGGGTCCGGGTCCGGTTCCGAAGGCGCCCCGACCCAACAGTTCCCATCAGTTGCGTTTCCTTCACCAACATTGCCGCCAGCCCACGTCCTCCCCACTACTGTGACTCAACAGCGACCTACTCCAGTCCCAATGCAAACAGACGCGCCACCCGCCCAGCAGCCGATCAGCCCGCACAGCGCCCCACCCCCCTCGCTCCTGGCGCCGCTCCGTCCCCTACCTACAGCCACCCTGGAGGACACGGCGCCTGGACCTGCGGGTGGGATTGGCGCCACCGACGCATTCGTCACATCTCGCGCGGGGGAGCGGCCCTGAGGTCTCGTTGGGCGACCAGGCCTGCCTCGGCGGGATGCGGCCGGATGACATGAGCGACGGAGACCTGGGCGTGCTGCGATCAACGAACGCCCTTCAGGGCGCGTGGTCCAGGTGGCGTGCGGGCACCCTGTGGCGCCCGACCATGCTCCAGTTCCTGGTGGCCGTGGTGATCATCTCCGTGCTCGGCCTGTTGGGGGCCTTTCCGTCGGTTTCGGACGGGCCCGGCAGATCGAGGTTCCTGTTCTGGACCAAGGGCAGGGTGCGGGACGGGGGGGGCGGGTGTTTGACAGTGGCGACGGCTACATGGAGGTGATGCATGCGGGGTGGTTCGTGCGACTGCCGGTGGCGCTCAACCTGTCGCTGTGGAGGGACGCCGGCCTAGTGTACTACGATCCGAGGCGGGCGGGCGACAGTTACGCGAGGGCGGAGATGCTGAAGGGGCTGGGGCACATCACCGTCGAGGGGCACGGGGCGAAGGAAGCGGACGGTGCTGCGACGGTGAGCGGCTTCCCGCGGCGGATATCGTCTTTGCATCTGCCAAACACTGACCGAGAAATCAGGGACAAGCCAGCATCTGTCTCGCGGTTGTCCATTGCTGAGGGCTGGTGGGCGCACAGCCCCTGTAACGTCCGGACAGCAGTGCTGCTGGTGGGCGCTGATTGAAGGCCAGATCCGTCCGATCGACACAGCATCAATGGAACGCTTGCACGCTTGGTGAAAAATGGTTTCTTGTCTGCATAAGAGAATTGTTGCTAGAAGTTGAAAAAGGTGCAAGGGCACTGTCACGTCATGTGCTGGCTATTGTGATTCTACAAGCAATTTCAGAGCCCATGTGTGCAGAGTGTGGTTATGTAAGTCTAAAAATCTCTTTGCAACAAAACTGTTTTCAGCTTGAGTGCACCACATTCAAAAGCGTTGCGCATAGTGCTGCACCAGTAGTTTTCAAAGTCTGCGTTGATTGCAGCCACCTACGTGAGGCAAACCTGTGTGCTTGCACCTTGGAGCACTGTCTAAAAGGGTGCTAGCACCTTGGGGCACCGTCTAAATGGTAGTGTGCAAGGAAAAGCGGCAGGGAGCTGGACACTCTGCCCAGGTTATTGCCAAGTGTTCCACAACCCAGTCACGATGCGATGCTCGGGTCATGCAGGTAATGGAAACCATCGCACTCATGACCTGCTATTCTGTGCCAGGGTGCAGGTCAAGGAGGATCCAAATTGCACCTTCCTGAGCCCGATGTGCCACTGACAATAGCCATGGCTGGACTGCACATTGACAAGGATTTCGCAATGGAGCAGTGCCCCACTGGTGACATCCGTGTGCTCATTGGCATTATTACTCGATGCTGTGGATCCTTGGTGGGTGGGTGTGCATGGAGTTGGAACAAGCCATGTATTTCAGTGCATTTTGGCCTTTTGCATCAGCAAGGCCGTTCCTGCCCCCATTGTGTTGCTGCTGTCCATCAGCTCATTGGATGTTCAATGCAGAAAAAAACACATCACTGTCCCGGTCACAGCAACCACTGCTGGAACAGCGAAATGCCGCACAAAATCTCCTGGGCATGGAGGGAACGATGGGCAAGAGCAATGGAGTGCGCTGTTTCATTAATGTTTTACGATGCGATGTTTGAAGCATCTTTTTATGTGCATTTCGCACTCCCATTGCACCAGTGAATGGTATGGGGGGCTTCACAATTGTGCCCAACACTTGTCCATAGATCCATGGTATCCAACTGGGGCTTGTTTGGTTCTGTTTGGACGGATTCGAAGTGTGTGTGTGTGTGTGTGTGTGTGCCATCAATTGACAACTATATCATATGGTACTGTGAGGGCTGGAGTATAGGGTTGTTTTGATTAGTGAAATGATAGCAAAGTATGAGTTTTAAATGGTCAATTGGTCAATAAGATTGCCCACAATACTGGTTCATGGATGCAGTACTCGCTATCAATGTGAAGTGCCGAGTACTGGTTGAAATGTTCCGGAGGGTCAACTAGTTTTGTTGATGAATCTTTGCCAGTTATTTTAATGTCTGGAGGTGATCGATGGTGCCAGTCAATGCCTGGATTGGCCTGACGCTTTTGTCTGAACCCGCCCAGTTCCAGAAATTCGCAATGCAACCGAAATTATTGACCCATGCAGTGGTTCCGAAGAGAGACGAACCCCAGTCTGGAGATGAAGCAGAGGAGAAAGAGACATTTGCAGCATGTATGATTATTGATATTTGAATGTAATATTGAGCTTGAAGATTAAAGATGTTTGATAGCCATGCCTTATTTCCTTGAGCACGCGAGGAGCAAGCCCCGGCGTGCCAAGAAATGGCAAGAGTTGATAAGTGGAGTGGGAATGATGATTAGAATGAAGTCCTTCAGTGTATGGCAACTGCAATGAACTTGCAATGGCTGCAATCAGAATGTTGTTCATCCAATGCTTATCTGTTATCCCATCTGTTGATACACGTTTTCTTCGCAGCCCCTGCAATTACACTCACATAATGAAAGTCGACGATGAATGTTACCTGAGGGGAGACAACCTTTTAAGCCTTATCCGAAGAGGGAATCCCAACAAAGCGTCAGGTGAGGCAAGCAAGGCACTGGAATCCGAATGGGCCATTCTTGAGGAATTGCAACCAGTGATTAATCGGAATTGCGTGTTGGAGATGACCATTTTGTGGTGCTGAAGCAGTTGCTTTGCACTTAAAGATGATGAATATTGAGATGAAAAACAAGCTCATCACACATGGTCATTCCCAGGCACGGGAAGCAAGCTGTGGCTGGATGCATTCAGGATGAGTGTACCGATGAGTGTACTGTGGATGAGTCAAATAACACTGCAAGTGTATCCTTCCGCATTCCCCAGATCTCCAAACTCATTTCACCATACTCAATATCATATTCACCCCATTAATCCACAAATATTCATTTATCTCTCGTTCTCACAGTCGTCAATGGAATGGCTACAGTTGTTGATCAGCCTTGGAAACAGGGCAGTTGCACTGGGTTCATGTTCCTGGACAAAGCTTACGCGGCTTTTTCCCATACTGGGATGTAGCAAGCTGTAGATCAGCTGATGACCCATGAAATTGAGAACTGTCGCAGCTGAGAATGTGGTGGTTGCCACGATTCGCCCGTGCAGAATGGTCTTTTCTCTGCATGCATCCTGTCCTTTCATCTCCTGCTTGCTGACCAAAATTCATTCTGACTGAGACCAAACATGCAGGGAGGGGTCCTTGGATGCATAAGATGTTCATTGGGCAACTTGGAGGTAGTTGGGAAGAAAATCACCACATGGCTTACGCTGGCTTCCATCCAAGTCCAAGGTGTGTATTTCCTCCACCCGTTCTTGTTCCGTCCTTGTGGCTGTGCCCAACTTTTGCATGTCTTGCTGGCATCTGCCTGCCCTGAATCTCCTGTCCATTTGCCGATTTGCTTCTGGGCACTTCTTGGGCTGCCTGGAGAGCGCAGCAGCGCTGGCCACCAGCCTGTGGCTGTTGGTGACTGCTTTGCTTAATGCAACAGGCTGCAAGCACCACATGAACGCATGGCGGAAGGGGATCACCTTCCTGGCAGGATGGATCTATTGGGATGGGGGTTCATCTTGTCTCGAGACAAGGCTGAACAAATAGTTCAGCGTGTGCGGGACCATGGAGAGGATGCAGAAAAGTGAGAACTCTGAGAAAGAGATCGATGGGAATGGGCAGGAGAGGGGCTTAGTAAGTCACATAGCAACACAGGGTAGCACAACGGCTTCATTCACTGGTGGATGTAGTTTCCACGTGGGCTCCTGGAAGGCAATACTGGCCATCCATAGCATATTGTCCTAAAGTGAACTTAGCTTTGCCTTGCATTTCATTAACAAGAAACAGAGGCATGGAATTGTGATGTTTTATTGTGGTAACCTGACATGTAGTTAGTTCTGTGGACAACCAGTGTAAATGGTTTTAGGAGGTCCACAACTTTGCTTGTGATTATCTTGTTGGTCAAAAGGCTTGGATGCTCTCAGCTGCTGAACTCAACACAAGCTTTGGCAGTGTCTGTTGGTTGTGCGTCATAGCTGTAACCCAAGACTGGCCTTTGCATAAGAGGGCAAAATGCAGTTTCCATAAGACATGCAACTCGTCTTTGTCAACTTGCTTCATCATATGTCACTGTATCCATTGCCATGTCATGTGCATTGACACTGTTGGCGTCCAAAGCTGCATGGCCAGACAAGGCACTGGGAATCGGAGCTTGAGAACTGCAGACTATGCATTCCCATTGTCGTATGGTGCACATGATGTACACCTGGGCACACTTTGCCTGTGCACACAACGAAAACCAAAGGCAAGGACACAAGACCCATGCTGTCATTGTCTCTCACACCTCATACTATGTTGTGTAGAGGCAGAGGCATTGGTTTCTTGATTCCTAGCGTGCGGGACTGAACCTAGGATTTCTGTTATTCTGACTGATCGGGGTCCATGTTGGGGTGACCTTCAGGCGCACGCGTTGGTGGTCTGGCCTGCCATGGGAGGACACTCTCGTCAGTGTGATGCTGGCTGACACAGGGGATGATGCCAATGGGCTGCATGTTCACTCGGGGTTCAAGGAAGCCTGGAATGGATGCCCACATGACACTGTGGTGAGCCGCTACTGGTACTCTCGGACATGGATTTAATGCATGACGAATGACAAGTCTCTGCCTTTGCACATTCCGAAGGCGATGGCAGAGTGAGCCATCGCAGCACATGGCACTTTCGTGTTGTACGAATTTGCTTACTTGTGGCAGTCGCCACGGATTAGTGACTGTGTCTGCAGGACATAGGCAAATTTAAGAAGTTGAAGAAGTTGAGTGAATTGTGGCACCATGTACCTTATGCTGTGACAAGGACAAGATGGATGGTATCTGGTGCTTTGAAATTTGGCTCTTGACATCTGTGGAGCAGAGCCTTAATGTCTATTTAGAAATATCTGGTGTGGAAATGTGCTAAAAGGTTGGTATTGCTTGATAGTAATATGGATGTCGTAATGTTTACATATGCCAACGTCATAATGTGTCTAAACGCTCCATTTCACCTGCTAAGGTTTTTGTTTTGAACAAGACGCTCCAATGTGGTGGACGATATTATGTCCTTTGTCCTTCTGGAATTTCAAGTCCATATGCGATGGCTGTGGGCATGGTGGAGTACATGTTCGCACATTATGTCCATTTTTGCTGGTGCGCCACTAAAGTACGCAACCAGATTGCTAGTATTGCATAGTGAAACTACTATAGATTAGTTGGATGAAACAGTGCTTGGATTGGCTTGTTGTAGTACCCGTCCTTCTACCAGTCCCAATACCCACCAGCGAATGTGCTTGTTTCGATTTTTAATGTGGCCTAAATCCGTAGAGTATTCTCCAATATAGCTATGCAAAAAGTTACTTCGTTCAGCAGAACAGAACACCATGATTCTCGCTCAGAGATGGACTACTGGACTGGATCAGCTGTTCCTCGTGGTGACAAAACATCGCACTGACACAATTTTGTGGATTTGTCTGTTCTTTATTTGATCAAGAACTTCAGTGTTCAGCAAGTTTTGTATATTCTAGGCCAATTTGCTTGCGCACGATGCCATTTGTTGACAGCAAGCGTGCTTGGACGGTCCTGCAGGTCAAGCACCTAGATGTGGATGCTCCAGAATTCCAATACCGCTTGTTCAGGGCAGAGATGACACATTCTTGGGACAACATCTCAACCGACTGCTCTGCTGGCAATTTCGCTCTGGATGACTACGATGGGTGGAGGTTGTGGCGAGACGCCCTGCCAGATATGGCGATGACTGGAAGGGGTTGAAATGGGCGAATTTTGCCCTCCTTGTGCTCTTTTGTTGATGAATCGCCGACCTGGCAATGCACTTGCAAGTGAGGGCATTGTGGGTCGAACTTCTGTGCAGGTGGGCCGTCTGCGCTCTTTCATCGCTCCTTGATCCCAGCCAGGCACGAGGTGATTGGAAGAGGCGTACCACTGTTCGGTTGGGGCACACAGGGTGTGGGATGCCATCTGCGCACTGTGTGGAATAAATGGCGATGTGCCTGGCTGCTGTCTGCATCGCCTGTGGGCGTCGTTCTGCCAACCAAAGGGAACCTCTGGGACTCACAAGTCTGGCGGTGGCGCTGCAGACCCCTTGCTGGATGGCCATTTTTTGACGGCGGTTTTGTCCACAGCAGTCTGGGCGTTTAATAGGATCACTGGATTCTCTGTCTTTGCATCATTTGGTGCTTGGAACTCTGCCAAGGAGACTGCTGATCGCTGATAGAGGAGGATAGTATCGGACTGTGCTATACAGAAGCGTTTGTAGGAGGTCGACAGCACAGTAGGTCGCTATTGGCTGCAACATCGGAGAGGCAGCCTTTTAGAAATGGCCAGGATGGCCGGAGCAGTTTTGTTGCGACCATTGACTTTTGACCCAGTTGATTTGTGTGGAATGAATTTTGTGATTCTGGAGTTGGTGTGGCTGCGAGTTTGGTCACTTCTTTCACTTCATGATTGAATCCAACGAACTCGATCTCCCTCTAGAATCGGATGCGGTTGTTGATGCTGAAGTCCTGGGTCACTGCACTCATCAAAATACTGAAAGAGCATTACCTATCAAGCTTGCTTGGCCTGCAGAACGGCAATGGTGATGCCAAACACTTCTGTTGCTGCTCACGCCCATCATCGCCTGCCAGATGCAAGGGTTGTGTTTTGCCATTTCATGGCAAATGTAGTTGACGGATTTTGATAGTTATGCCAGAGGTGATGCATAGTGGTGAGTTTCGTAAACTCTGCAAAAGGGCTATGCCTTCGCAGACAGATACCTTGCTTCGAATAAGGCCAACTGTCGGCGCTAAGCGAAGCAAGGTAAGTGCGGGGCTCGAACACTCGCCGTCACTTACTCCCCAAGCGCCGAAAATCCATTGTCCACCATCGAACGGGCCATGGACTTTGACTGACCCAAATTGCCGTGGACGAAATCCCAAAGGGCGCAGTCCTGGATACGTCCTTGCAAACCTGGCCGTCGATTCAAACCGCCTGCGCACCCACCCCACATAGGCCGGCCGCCCGCACCCTGCGGCAGAAACCTATTGCTGTTTGTTTGTAAACCCTTCCGCATAGTAACGTAACGCTTGGCCATTTTCTGCGGAGAAAAATAATAAAATAAATAACGCTCTTTTAACAAAATGTTTGCGGAGCAACGCAAAAATAATAAAAGTATCGCACTGAAAAACAGAATGCGGAGCGACAAAGCGTAACAGTAACAGGGCATGGTTATCGTTGCTTCCCCGCTTCCGATTCGCTGGGTTCCATTGACCCCATGGACCCCACTGACCATTCTTCGCCCCCACGAACGTCCCATTGGACCCGCCCATCGGACACAAAATGACGACACTGCGACAGCGACAGCGGCGGGAACACAGCGGCCGGGCGCCAGGCACAGTGGGGGGCGCGCAGCGATCGCCCGGCCACCGGGCAGGCACCCGCCCGCGCCTGAATGGGTTCCGCCCCGTCCCGCCTGCCCTCCGCCTCCTCCCCACCCGCCAGCCGCGCGCTCCAGGACACCCTCCAGTCGCGCAGCCCCTTCCTCCTTTTCATCGTCGTCCTGAGCATCGTCCTCCACCTCGGCTTCTTCTGGCAGCGCGCCCTGCAGTGCTCCGCGGGCGTCCAGGGCTCGCCCTCGCGCCCCGCCAGCGACCGCATCCTGACCGGCCTGCGCGATGTGGACGCCAAGCTGGACGCGCTGTTCGCCAAGAGGTCGGCCAGCGACGCGGCGGCGGTGACCAGCCTGGTGGTAGGCCTGCGCGCACAGCTCAACACCTTCCTGGCGGAGTACGAGAGCCAGGGGGAGGGCCAGGAGGGTGGAGGGAGGATCGGGGCGGGATTGACCGACGGGCATGGCGCGGCGAGGAAGACGGACGACTTGGGCGGGAGGATTTTCGTGGGCGTCTTTGTGAGTGGGGTGGCGACGGAATGGGGAGTTGGGGGCGTGAGTGCGTGTGGCTCTGGGGGATTGCGGGAACGCGTTTCACGGGAATCGTGGAAGCGGTGGATGGGATGTTCGGTGGGTGGCATGGGGAGGTGCGACGGGTTGCGGAGCTGTTCCGTGCGTCGAGCGGGATCGCAATCGCGCTTCCTCGCGGCGAGCAGACCGCGCCGATGGCCTTGACCGCGGCGGCATCCGCGGTCGACCTGTCCGGTTGTCGCCGTCGAGATGCAGGATGCCGTGAGAGACGTGCGTGCCGCCGAGCGTGGACCAAGCGCTAGCGCATGTCGGGATGTGGGATAGCCAATAAAACCTGTGGCAGGACAGGCCAACCCAAACCTAATGCCCCATGAGGTTATTTGCACCGAAAGGAAGTGAGTGCATAACAGTGGATGTTGCGAAGGGAATGATGACAGCTTGGGTACACGCGCTTCAACAACATTATTCATGTCAAGAATAGCGTGGACTTTTGGGTGTTCGAAGCATGAGAAACCGTAGTCAAGTAACTAATAACAGTCTGGAGGAGGAGTGTTGTACTTTAGCGTTTACACACCCAGAGACTTTGGACAACAGTCATTCGGGTTGGGAATGCATTATTTGTGATTGGGGAACCGAGAACCGCCAAAATGATCTGTGAAAGTCTTTGCTCTGGCCTACAACGAACCAGATAGATGAGCAGACAGCCAGATGCATGTAGTGCGTGTGAATTTGTCCTGTCTTGCAAGCACTTGTGACCACATTTCTGCTCATGATGTGCATACCCTGCTTTGCTTTACATCCTTGGTGCCATTTTCGGTGACTGGCTCCTCTGGTTCTGCAGTTTGAAATGGCCCCAGTTTGCTTGTTGCATGTGTGCATGTGTGGTGGTGGGAGTGGCACAATTGGAATCACATTACCAGTGTAATAGTACCTGTACCCAGTTTAATCATGCCTCTCAGCACGGCATGAGGCAAGCCACAAGAGAGGGTGCAAAAAGGCATGCTGGGTTGCAGCATGGATCCAGGGCCTGCACAAAATGCAACTTGCAACATTGGCATTGCCGACCATGCGAGTGTCAGGTGCAGGGGCACTGGATTGCTGCAGGTCAGCTTTATTTCATTGCAGATTTATACAACGCACTTTTCTGTTCGACACATTGTGCACATGGATGAATGTATTTTATGTGGGACAGTGGCTGATCGTGTCTGTGGTGCACCAACAGAGTGGAATCACTGACAGGGGAAAGCTGGTGGACGCAGAGGATGATCCAGAGACACAGCTGCGCTATAATTATGCAAAACGGCGACAGTCCATCAGAGATACATGGTTTCCTGCGACTGGGGAGGACCACATCCAGTATGTGCTTGAAGTGCCTCAACTGTTTCGTTTCAGTTTGGGAGAATGGCAGACAGATTTCAGAGCCTGTGTATCGATGAGAATTTGCAGGCAGGCCAAGCACAACTCAAAAGCAACACATGTCTTTATGCCAATCCACATAGCATCTATTTTTTTCGCTGTACATCACGCATGGAGCAGTGATGTCTCATTTGCTGCACATCAGGGCTGTCTCTGAGGAGTTAGTAATTCTTCGCAACAAGAAGAAGATGAGCTGTCTTCTGGGCATGCAGGGCCTTGGTAAATTAAATGAATCTTGTCTTGCATGCTGCCAGGTTTGGTATAGAAATCTCCACATGTACCACCAGTCGATAGAAAGAAGAGCAAGATATTTGCCATGCTGGTGTGTGGAGGAAGAGTAGATACCTATGGCATGTGGCAGGCCAATTGCCACTTATGCCTGAACTTTGATGCCTGAACTTCGTGTAGTGAATTCCCAGGGCTATTTCACTACCCACTGTGAGTACTCTTATGTGGTGCAACTGCTGTCTCACTCATGATGATTGAAGCCTGTTGGCTGAGATTGGTGCTGCTGTGCAGGATGCAGAGGGAGCTTGGAATTACAATGCGCTTCATTATTGGCCACAGTAATGATGCCGAAGAGGAGAGACAGATAGCAGAAGAGAATGAAGAGCACGGTGACATCTTGAGGCTGCCGATCGTTGTAGGTTGGCTGCAAGGGTTGTGGGCTGAAATTGGGCAACTTCTTCTGCTATAATAAGATAAGGCAGGCCTTCAGGATGGTGCCAGTATGCCAATTCCCACCGCATCAAAGCGTCAAGGGGAGACACTGTTTGGCCAATCAACTAGTTACTTGGGGACAACTATTGATGGAAGGAATTGGGCAATACAGTTTGCTTTGTACTGGCTGCCTGGAAAGTGGTGGCATCCTTGTTGGCCACACTGGCGGACAAGCAATGGCAAGGCCAGGGACAGTGCAAGGATACACGCAAGCGTGCTAAGCACCATTTGAGGAAATGTGCTTAAGGCTCTTCGCCGTGCTGTATGCAGCGATATGGATATGTCCACAAACATATGAAGGGCGTGCGGCAACGTGCGCTGCTCAAGAGAATTCATATGTTCATGGCGATTTGGATGAGCACAGTTCGATTTTGATGGGAATTTCTCCATTGGGCAAAGGCGATGCACTGTATTGTCCAACAGAGAATTTGTGTCAGTCAAGGAGCATGGATCAAGGGGCCCTGTATAAGGAACTGTGAGCATCCTGCCAAGGTACAGAGCTAGGAAGTGTGTATTGTGCTGCCAACCTGCATCATGGCCAGCTGTACACAATCGGGTGCAAAGATCAACAAGAGCCCAGGAATGAATACAGTAGTTCAGATTGGGAAATACTCTGAATATCACAGATCGTCTGTCAAGGTTCCTGGCATAACGGTGTTGGTGCTGTCCCCTGCAGGAGTCTTACGATGGGCTTGCCAATAAGACAAAGAGTTTCTTCAGCGCTGTCATGGCAGGCTACAGTCCTGACTGGATCGTCAAGATCGATGATGACATCTACCTAATACCTGATCGTCTGCAGGCAGCTACCAAACAATGGAAACGCATGGGTGCAGGTAAGGCCTGCTGCAAGCACCTTGGACATCCAGTAACTGCTTTTAGAGTGTTATGACGGCAAGTACTCTGAGATATTAGTCCTGAGCCATCATTTGTTATGAATGTACTCAGGTTTGCATATGTTGGGTTCAAGGTGAAGGCGTTGATGCTGTGGCATTTGTGCCATTGCGCTGCATCAATTCTTTGCAATCGTATTCACCCCCTACTTTGTGCATTTTGCGTATCTTGTCAGACAAACACAGAAAGAGTGTCCGTTCTGTGGACAGTGATGTGCATACCTGAGAACAGCACTGAAGGTTTTGGGGAAACCCTGTCAAGGGCAAGAATGAGGAGTTAGCCTTCTGTGTGGACCACCAGGGTACATCGGCTGCATGAAGCATGGGGATGTCTGGAAATATGAGGGCACACGCTGGTTTGAGCCACAGCATATACTGCTGGGCAGTGACTACTTCCTGCATGCATATGGCAGTCTCTATGTCATGTCAAGGCAGGTCGTTGAGAAGGTCATCATCAGGAACATGGACAACCTCAGAATGTTGGCCAATGAAGGTGATGTGCCCTTTGGCAGTCATTGCTGCTGTCATAATTGGTCGATCCTGCCATAAAGAATATGGCCACGTGTGTCCAGAATGAGGGATGGGCAGGCATGGCTACTTAGTTTACAGTTGCACAAAATGGACTTTAAAATGATCCCAGAATATTTGCTGATGGTGTAGCTGCCCCTTGCTTGCTTGGCACAGCTGCCCAGCTGAGTGCTGGCAGAAGATTTGTTATTTGATCCCTTTGACGTAGTGGGAGAACTGCACGTTTTTTGGTCATTTTGTCATGAGCCATAGTGTCCCATTGTTTATGGCCCACAGTGTATTCCACCCTCCTTTCATCCATGACAGTTCCTGAAGTGTGGATATGAGTACATGCATGTTTACGCATGCCTCCCGCAAGCACCTTCCCCAGTGCCATCTCCCCCAGCGACGATCTCCCTAGCTGGTGACAACAGAGACAGAGTCCTGTCACTTTGGGCGTTGTATTTGGTGTTAGCTGGGTCCAACCGTTCAGATAGATGAACAACCAGAGACCAAGCCTATGAGAACTGAAGCTGTTCTATGTCTGCAACGTGATCCACCTGTTCGCATGCTAGCCTTCCCAGTTGCCTACTTCCTTGTTCATTGCTTGCAGGGCAGTACCTTTCAGGCGGCTTGGCCATCTAGCAGGCAGTGCAAACTATGTACCCTTTTACTGGGCAGCGCCGCAAAACTGACGACAATGCAATTGAAAACTGTGAGGGACAGCACCGTCAGCGTTTGACGAGTGCCTCTTTGTGACAGATCAGTGTGAGTCCAAGGGTTCCAGTGGCTGGACAGTCTATGTTGTGGACTGAATGTCCTGGCGATTGAGGACTGTTTGTGCCAATTCCTGTAATGCATTCCAAAATAGCAATAAAATGTCGTGTACAGAAGAAAAGACGGCTGTAGCCATAGACTGAGCAGGGTGCTGGTCCGATTGATGTTTTTCAGTCCTAGTGCAGTGCAAGCAACTTGACTGTTTTCTCTTCAGTCCCATGATGATTCCATTTCGCTTGCTGAAGAAAATGCAGTCCTTTGTCCAACCTGAGTTGTGAAGCGCTACAGCAAGCAAGACTCAGATCACTTCTTTGGTCTCATGTGGATTGTGATACGATATAGCACGATCCTCAAGTAGAAACTCTCAAACAGGCATGGGGCCAGGCAGGTTCCAACCTGACTCGAGCAATGTATTTGTTGAATGTGCTTGCAGACACTTCTGTGGGCGTGTGGATGCTCAGCCACAACGTCACCCATTTCGAGGACATGCGGTTGTGCTCTGAGGATTGCGCAACAGAGGCCATTGGAATCAGGAAGAAGGACTGCATGGGTCTATGCAGCCCTACGAAGGACATGTACATTGCGCACCGGACCAAATCTTGCAGGGAGGAGGCCACAGATCCGTTACCCTACATGCCATCCTATCCTGACCATGAAATGTTTGAGAGCATGTGGGTATGACATCTACCCACACCTAAGGTGAGCGATTCTGGTGCTCCACTGCAGCCCTCTCTGGTTCATGGCTGGGCGATCAGGCACTGTGCTGCCCGTTGACGCATCCAGCACCGCTCCAGGCCTACATTGGGAACGACGTGTCCTTTACTTCTCCTCGGAGTGTCTGGCTTTCTTGAAGGCACAGAGGCCGCGTGGTGGCATATAGAATGAATTATGCAGTGCTGGTGTGCATGCCTGGATGGTGAGGTGTTGGATTGCTCTAGCATTAATAGTCAGCAGGGCAAAACGTGTGTCGTCACACCCTCTGGTCCTGGAGGTCTCCGCTTCAGTGTCTGGCGAAAATGCCAGATCTGCTTTCTGTGTCTCTCACAAGGGCCCCACCGCGGAAGCTTGTGGACCTGTTCCCGCTATGGGATGACCCTGACCCTACAGAACAGCGGATCACAATTTTTTTAGAGCTTGCCTGCAGCAGCCCATAGGGCAATTGTGCACCTCCAATGGGCGTTGCTGTTGTGGCGAAGGTTCTGGGAAGGGCTGCAGTTTTGCAAGGTTTGGTGGTGCTGCTGGGGCTCTTTCTCTAGACAGGCTCTTGTCTCGTTTCGTTGCCAAGCCAGGGGGACCAAGCTCACAGGCGCCTGCGGCCATGGCGCCATGTATTTTGCTGTTGCATGCATTTGTTCGGGTGCTGAGGAGCAGAGGGATTTTAGTTTGCTCAGATGAGCGGCTTGACTGTGTTGGGGGATTTGGATGCGATGGGGTATTGTAAGATGAATGGCTGCACCGGTGTGTGCACTTGTGTGTCTTGCCGTTTTGGGTCTTTGCAAGCACATCGATAATTGATATGCGACGCCACTGGCCCATGCTGTGACAACCAAAAATGTCCATGTCCACGTGCCAATGCTCGCCAAAGGAGGAACCTCTGCGAAGTAGCCAGAAACCAAAACCAAACTCATGGCAGAGAACGCCTGGCCCCCTGATGGTCTGGGGCCGTGCGTCATGGGGCTAGCTTTGAGACCGCCTTGATGGCGGGCAGGTCCCACACACGTATGTTGAATTCGCCGTTGGTCATGTTGTTGCTTCACTCCATGAGGGACACATGACAGACACACAGCGCCTGACTGGGTGACAAAACAAATAGCCCAGTCAGGGTGAGACATGGGCTGATGCTCACTGCGCTAAATACAGTGTGTGAAAGAGTAGTTTAGCGTGTGAACGGGTATCGATGTCCTGTGCGCCATGGACAATATTTGAGCCTGGATTCCCGAGAGCAAAATGGCTGTTGTGAAGGTCGGCATTTTTAGGAAATTTGATGGGAAGCTGACATAATCGGAGCATTAATTCTTCAAATAGAGTGGAAAACTTCCGCATGCAGAATTAAGCTGTACGGGTTCTAGTCAGGAAACAAGAAAGAGTGAAGAAGAGTGAAAACCTTGAGAAAACGTTTAAAGGGAACAGGCAAAAGACAAAGGTTTGCTTACTGTTCATCTGTACAATCTGCTATCATGCTGTCGCATGATCCAAAGGAAACGGTAGTTAATGGAGGAAATTTGCCAGAGTTGGACACGGATTCGGAACACTGTCTTTCAGAACCCACATCTATCAGATTCAGAAATGCTGATAGGCGCATTAGTTTCATTCTGGGGTCATTTTCGTAAGATTGGATGATTCACAATGAATGACTGGACCTCTAACCAATGATCGCTTGAGGAACAGCACTATGGTGCGAAGGGACTGTCCATGAGTGCAAGGGAACATGTTGAAATTGTTCACATGGCGAGGGTGGAGACCCACAGTCGCAAACAACATCAAGTACAGCCAAGAAGCACGGCGCTCAAGGTGTCATACCCCAATTTACATTCTTTTCGTGGGGCCTTTCTATGTCCATTGAAGGAATTTGAGTAGATGTCCCATTGGGGAGAGAGAATGACCCCCCCCCATCCCCCCCTAAGGTAACACTTCCCAGGGCGCCGTTGGGTCCTCTGTAACTAAAGGCCGTGGATACACAACATCACATGAAACAAATGGCAATGAATGCGGGAAGAGCCGTGGGGCCACTCTGGTCGGAAATGAATCTGGACTTCTGCCATCACCTTCAATGTCATATTGTAAGATTTATTTGGTGTTTGGACCTAATGTGAGGCCACTGACCTGCAGAGATTCGGGAAGGTCGAGGAAGATTTCGCATTGCGGAAATGCTATGATGGTTTAAAATTTTGATACAACTGAATTCTCTACGAGGACTGAAGATTTCCAGTGAGCGTTCAGGCTGGAAATCTGTGCAGCAGGTGGTGACAAACACCCACCAGTTATGGCAGTGTGGGGCTTCAGGACCGTTTGGAACACCAATCAATAGCAGATGGGACTATGGCAAGCGCAGTAGTGAGGTGCACAGTGATCGTGCGGTTAACTGAGGTCAACTTGCGGGTTAGTTCACGAGTTTCCCTCGACGACATGGGAATTCTGAGTGCAGTTTAATGGGGAATCTGATGATGACATGGACACATAAAGGGGCAACATGAGCTGTCAATTCGCGACAAGTGGCCATTGGGAATGTGGGAATTCAACGATCGCTGACTCTTTCCGATTGCAGGGTCGTATTGGGTCGGGGGTCACTGATCAGTGGTTCATAGGGCCATGGCTCTTAGAGTTTTGTAGGGCCCTTTTGCCACAACAGACATGAATAGCATATATTGTGTGGTGGTGCATAATTGCCTTGTTTGCACCATGGTCCCCGGCGTTTGGACCACCGTTGGATTCGAATGTATGTCCTGTTCAATTGTGTTTCACTTACTCATGGGCGACGCTCCTGGTGAACGAACAGTAGGCATAAAGTTTTTTGATGTGCAAAGTCTAGCAAGCCTTGGCGATTCGCAGCACCGCGTTCTACCCCCGTTCTCGATCCCATGACCATTACAAAGCTGTACTTCTGCACCATTGTGCTCTGGAGAGAGAGGAGGCCACATTTGGTGACTTCCAGCAAGGACATGGATCTGCCCGCGAAAGCTCTGAGTGGCTGCAATAGATTTGGAGAGCCTGTATTGCGGTGCAAGCATCGTGCTCTGGCTGGTGTGCAACATCCACAATTTCGAAATGCGGCGCTTGGCCCGGAGCATGCTGCCGTGGTTTGAAGTCAGTCATGGTGCAAGAGAATTGCCCACTGTTCTTCGGGATCGGTGATTGAGTTTCTGTACGGCGAGAAATGCCGATCAACAGCTGTCAGTGTTCAATAGGAGGTGCTGCAATCAAATACGGTTAGAACTGCTGTTGAAGGCGCAAAATTCTGCGACGATGGCCTGATCTCTGTCAGGACGTGAGAAAGCACCGTTGGTTGTATCTAGAATCCAGGCAGTGAAGCGCCTGTGACGCTTTGACGATTAGTTTCCTGATCCCTACTTTGGACACCAGAACCGAAAGCTTTAAAAGGGGTCTCCTGGCAAATTGATCGTACCAAGTGGCCGCTTTCGTCGACGACTGGCCTGGGGGGTGTTTGTTTTAGGTGGATCCAAACGGCTTTGGAGACTCTTCGACATGAAGTTGTGGTGTTGAAGGCTCTTTTGGAGCATCTGGTGATGCAGCGTCGGCTGACAAAGACGGCGCCTCCCAGCGAGTCCCAAATTGCGAATCCCAGGCTGGCGATGCTGATTATCGCCCAACTCTCAGTTCCAGTGGCATTGTTTGTGGGCCCTAACCGTGTCGTGGGTTCATTGATTCATGGTGAACATGAAGCAGACTATCCTAATAGTGGGATTCTCCCAAGTGTGGCAATGGATGGGGGCGCCCCGGCATGTCTTGAGACGGCGCTGCCTCAAATACGGCCAGTTTGGGCCACCCCATTTGTGTTTCTTTCACCCCTGTACCTTGAGTTTCACGGCCTTTTCTTGGGGTCGAGGCGGGCAGCTATTTGTGAGCTCTCCTCGGTGCTCCCATTATCTTGTTTCACATCCACCCGGCCCGCCTCTTTGAGAGTGAATGCCGGTTAAATGTGGAATGGTGTGTGAGCAAAGTGCGCTGCTGGGGCGCTGACTCGGGGCTGAGCCTCCCAAGCATGGCGTTTTATATGGCGAAGCGAACGGGCACACTTCGAAGTGCGTTGCCCTTGGTTTGTATTCACAATGGTGAAGGCAGTACAATTGCGCAATGCCTTGTTGTGAGGGAAACATCCCCCAGGGGACGTAAATAGGATTGGCTACTGTTCGGGGCGCCACTTTGTGAGGTAGTAATAAGACTCAAAGTACACAATCGTTGGGTCAGTAAATGCGGTAAGGAGGCGCCCCGTATGACAAGCAGGAAAAGGACCATCGAAGGTCGCACTCACAAAAGTCGTCATGGAGACCAAGCCAAGCTATTTAGGGACGTCAATGGTGGACCAAGAAAGCTTCAGGAGCTGCACATCAACAATCTGCAGTCACACCACCGATCGCGCCCGATGTGCATACGGAAATGCCACGAATCGACACACCGACATCACCGCGACACGACTCAGGACCCGTCTGACTGTATGGAGTACGGCGAATCCGCGCCACCCCCTCCGCACGGACGCGCACGAGCTGGGAGGCTGTGCAAATGCACTCCGGCCAGGTCCAGGGCCACAGGGCTGCTGGCGGAAGATTTCCACGCCGATCCAACGGGGCGGAATGCAACCATCCATCCGCGTTGACCACCCTTGACCGATGGGCCACACGGGCTCCCATCGGTGGAGGCCGCGATCCCGATCCAGGACGCCCGCAAGGAAAGTGACCCAGCAGGGTTGCAGAGGGGCCGAAGCGCCACCATTCTGCCGGAAGAGAACAGGGGAGGGCGGTGAGGATTGTGAGAGCGCCATTCAAGTCGTCGTTGGGGCCGACATGCGGAATCATAATATGATGTCATCACCATATTACGGTGCGCATCGGCTTCCGTGGGGATGTGCAGGTGTGCTGCCTACGATGGAGCGTATCTTTCACCTCAGCGCCCTGGATCAGGCCTCTGAGGCGCACTGTGGGACTTCAGGAACCCGCTGGGAGCGC